AGCATGTCGGGCGTGACCGGTTTCCGAGAACTTTTCACTGGAATATAAACCGTTGCAACGCCTTCCACGGTCCAGAACCCCGCAAGACATCAAGCCTCGACCGTTTTTCAACCATACCAGCCAGCCAGCCATTTCGATAAGAGCAGTGGAATTCTCACGCTCCGAAAACGATCGAACCCAAAACTCTCTCAACGGTAACATCCGAATCTCATAATCATGCAGCCCGTCACCTACCTGGGACTGCTCTTCTTTTGCTCAACGCCGGCTCTCACGGCACCCTCGCATGTTCACAACCATCTGCAGCGCCACAGAGATCGCGCCGCAACACACGCTCACATCAAGCACGACCACGAAATGCTGGCCAGACGGGCCGAACAAGTCCGACTGGAGGCACTGGAGAACGCCCAGCCGGAAACTCAATCAAATTCACCCGCGGGCAAACCAGCGACACAGTCACCGTTAGAACAAGGGCCGACCGTAACGCTGTGGGGACAACAGACCGGCCCCAAGACCGCCGCGGCCGGGGCCGACGAGGTGGTAATACGAGCGCCCGGATCGGGATTTGGGTACGGCAGAAGCAAGGTTGCGGCGCACGGCGAAATCGACCTGGAGCATGTTGTGGAGGGTCTCGACAGCCGGCAGATGGACGCAGCGACACGGCTGTTGCTTGCCCATGCGGCGCGGAAACACAGCGGGTTCCGTCGTTAGGCCTCAGCAGGAGGAGGCGTCTTTGGGTGGTTCGTGCGGCTTCATGTGTATTTTTGGCTGGAATGGTGGCTTTCTGCTTTGGACTAATCGGGCGGTCGCGAGGGCTGGAAGAGTTGGCCAAGATGAAGATAGAGAGCGACTTGCTGCAGGATCAGCGGGTGATGCGCGCGGGAACGTAGGGCTGGCTGGTATTTTTAGAAGTCAAATTGTGAAAAAATGTGATTCTTCTTCTGGGCAGTTGAGACGATCCTCATTCGTATGTATTGGCTCTTGCGTTGATGTCGGGCAAACTCTGTATCGTAGAGATGAATTGGCACACCCTCCAACAATGAACCCTGAACTGCACTGTGACTCCTCGTCATCGTCATCGGATTTTGCAGTGCATGTCGTGTCAGCATGCGGATGGAGAAGGCGGTGGATTTGGGTGTGTCAGCGGCGCTCTCGCATCCCTGCGTGTATCGAGAATCGGCCCTGGTGCTCCTGGAGACAATGTCTGTCTCGTCGAAATGCCGGTGCATATCAGTATTTTGTGTGCTGAAGCGGCTAAAGAAACGAGGGCGGGTCGAGGATGCTCCCTTTCGTTAGATGATGGCGCTGATCGGTGAGAGTCCCTGACAGTCGTCGTTGGGGAGAATCTTCGAAATAGTCGGGGCGGTCAGCGGTTGACATCACAGTCGGAGATATTTGTAAGAAGCATTGCGGCGATGGCGACTGCCGTTTCGTTTCGAGTCGTGTAAAGCCATCCCATGTTGTTTCCTGCGAGCAAGGCGGCGTGTGTCAGGGTGACGATCCTCCGAGCCGTGTGGTGTTTGGGAAAAGAAACTGTGTAGCTGGGTGCCTTTGTCAAGTAAAAGTACAGTGCGGATGAATCTGATCAAATGGCGCGAGATGATTGGCGTGTATATCCTCAAATGACCCACAATAGCTTGCAGGCAGGGAACGGGGTCGGGGTACTTTAATCTATGATCTTGGCACGGGCAACTGTGCTCCCCGTCGCGCACGTTGGCAGCCATGGAGCCCATTTGGGTGAGGTGCGCCTCCAGCTGAAAGAGCCACAGCATCCCGCCGCTTCCAGAAGTCCCTGCCTCTGCAGTATTCCGGCCAGCCTCTTGTCCAACCCAACGGCACAGCACAGCAGCCAGTCACGAGGGCACCACTGCACCTTGTCGATCCCACTTGCAGTTGGAGCTCTCCAACTCATCGCCTTTCGACGGCTCCCACTTTCTCAGAACGCTGCCTCTGCCTCCACCTTCCTCCTCCTGTTCGTCCCCTTATTACGAGCATCACACGTTTCGACAGCCACTACGCGACACCTCCTCAGCTCCAGCAACACGCTGCCCCTTTCCTTTCCAAGAAGAGAACAATACTCGCCATTACTATTGCTGCGCTTGCGACGCCAGCATCAATTCGCCTTGTTGCTTAGGGAATCCTGCCTTACCTTATTAATCCATCGTCCACCCATTCGAAACATTCAAAGCACCCGATTGCTGGGGGAGCTCCGGAACGCTTGGGCTCGTACTTATCCACGCCAGAGCCGCAGGGAGACCGCTTTCTGTGTCGAATCCGAATCCCTGTCGAGTCTTTGCTTCTTGCCCGCTTGCTACCGTAGCATTTACGAGCCGTCATCTCCTGACTGTCAACTTGCCATCGTTGCACCAACTCAATCGCCCACAACAGACCAGAAGCAATCGTGACATTGCTCGACCGTCGCATCCCGACCATTGTCTTTTGCCCGCGCACATACCCTCATACCAACCTCACCCGTCGCGCACCGTCGAGCGCCAAGACTCTCTCGCGATGCCTTCGCCAAGGCAACTGCGCACCCTCCTGATCGGTGTCATGATCGGAGTGGTCTTCGTCCTCTTCTACACCTCATCACTCCGATCCGGCGAGGCCAGCGACTCGCGCTCCGTTCAAGACTTCTATCACAAGACCGTCGAGGGTCTTAACAAGAAACCTCCGCCAGGCCAGGCAGTGCTTGACCAGAACAAGGGCAAGGCCGCTGGCCATGTGCCTACTGACAAGGACGCCGACGGCGATATCGACGAGGACGATGCGAAGTTGGCCAAGGATATGCAGGAGAGGTTGAAGGCTGCCGAGGACAAGGCCAAGGAGTCTGCGAACAAGAAAGCGCCGCTGAAGCCTGACGCACCGAGCGAAGTCGTCGGTAAGGGCAACTCGGCCGCGGGACAGGACAAGAAGAAGGAGAAGACGGGCACCGCAAAGGACGTCTCGGCGGAGAGCCCGAAGGAGGAGAAGAAGGAGAAGGAGGAGACCGCCGAGGAGCATGCCGTCGAGGTGGAGCTCAACTCGATCCTGAAGAAGTCGCCGGGTAGGTCGAGCGTGGCAGCTGGGAATGAATAGTTACTAACTTGAGAACAGTCATCATTTTCTCCAAGACATACTGTCCTTTCTCGAAGAAGGCAAAGGAGATTCTGCTCAACAAGTACTCAATCTCCCCCGCCCCTTACGTCGTCGAGCTCGACAAGCACAAACTCGGACCCGAATTGCAAGCTTTCCTGGGCGAGAAGACCGGCCGCAGAACTGTCCCCAACATTTTGGTCAATAGTGTGAGCATTGGTGGAGGCGACGACATTGTCGAGCTGGACAACCAGAACAAGCTGTTACCCAGGATTGTCGATCTTGGACAAAAGAAGGTTGAAATGAAGCTGCAGACCGCCGACGGATTGAAGAAGGAGCAAAAGAACTAGGCCGGGCGCGCTCTTGCATTTCCTTTCTATATTTTACATCCTTTCTGGCCGACATTATCTTCTTGGAGCAAACTAGGGATACGGTGGAAAACTGGCGGAGGATTCCCCAGTAATGGACATTGCATACTCGGCGTTTGGGATCGATTCAATTCTCGTCACCTGCAAACAGACCTCAGCCAGCGATATCGAGTCTTTCCAGAATCGCGACGGCGGACGAAGTCAAGGAGACAGCGGCGCGAGACAGCGACAGCCCTATAATGCGGAGGGACCTGTACGATTAGCGCGTTCAAAGAATACATGACTATGCCGTTCCGTTGGCCGGTCGTTACTTCTCCAACCAGTGTGTCCTTCGACAGCCAGGCCATGGTGGGCTGGCTAGATGGACTTGCACGCCTGAGGGCACAGATTGGGCCTTCGACGAGTTCATGAGGCTAGTGAAACCTTCAAGCGAGGTTTTTTTTGGGGGCTTACAGTTGTCGGCAAGTAATGCGAGAGACCTTGAGTGGCACCGATGTTCTGCATTCACGGCGCTTGCCAAACACAAATCAAGGCTGGTAAACTAGATTTTCTAGTCTCCCATGCCTCTCTATTGTCTTCTCATCGTCCCCTACAACATCTTCTCTTATTTCATGGCTCTGTGGGCTTTCTGACCAACCTGGCCCATTCTATCCTTCTCCTCGTTACTCTGAGGACGGATATTTCTTGAGACGCTCCAATTGCGGCAATTGACATGGCGGGGCAGGGTCCTCACGATCCAGCTGAGGCTCTTTCTAGCTACCCCGCCAAGATCGGCAGCGCAGTACTGTCCGGGATCAGGTCTCCATGACACAATCCGTTGGCGCGTGTTGGCCATAAAGGTGTCAGGTACGTTCAAAAGCAGGATTCGGGCCCTAATGAAAGCTTTGTACCCATGTTTCCTGTGGTTGTTGCGAAAGCGCTTGTGTTCATTGTGTCTTTGTCGTGTCTTCTGAAGAGTTGAAGGTGCCCCGCGGCGGTTGTCATCGCAGCCCCTCGCCTCTCTCCGAAGCTTCCAACAACCCCAATCCTGTTCAACTCCAGGAGGATGCAAGCACGACAGCGACAATGTCACACATGCCTGACTAATGTAAGATTAACTGCGACTCTTTTGGACGGCTCGCCTTCTGACACCACTTTTTTGATCTAGATTTCTGGGGCGGAGCGCAATCGCCATCATCAATTGAGAACCCGGATGGTCCACGTCGCAACATGAAAAGGCAGCCGGGTTCTCACTTGCGCCTGCGAGATGTATTGCTCAACAGCCTCTCCCGTCTTTCCGTCTCATCCTGCCTCTTGCCTTTTTACTTTCAGAAACCACGTGGTCACGGGTGCTGAACGGCGTGGCGCCTGACATTTCATCTCATATCGTTGACTTACACATCGACTGCTAGTGCTGCCCCTGGCGCATCGTCAACGACCACCCTCTCCAATTCACTACCTTACTTAACACACATCAATCAAGACCATATTCTCCCCCTGATTCTTTCTTGGACACGCTCGAAACCATCAATTGGACTTGAATCACTTATCAACAACCTCTACTTCATCATCTATTCTTGGATAATGTCTCTTCTCCCTCCACACCTGCTTCTCCTCGTCGCGGAGCGCGCGGGCTTCTCAGAGATTCAGGCCCTCAGAGCAACATGCAGAACGAATCGTGAGCTGCTGGACCGGTATGAACATGCCGTGACCAAGATCAACGCCGCCCACTACCCCTGCGCACCCTGCAACCACATCCTCGCCTCCGACACAAGAGAGCGCGAAGTCCTGCCCAAGGACACGTTCGAAATCATCCGGGAACTCGAGACGCGCGAGAGCAATATCGAACAGCTCATCAACGGCGCCTTCCTCGCCTTCTGGGAAGAATACGACCTCCAAGATACATCCAAGGCGGACCTGATCCGTGCCAGCCTCACCAGCGCGCTCTGGCGGTGCTCAGAGATTGCGGACCTTGAGACACACTCCATAAGATACAGAGAAGACATCGTCCCGCGGAGAGACCCCTGCGTCAAGTCGCTGATTCACCAAGACATCATCCTGCGCGATGCGCCGCCGCCGGACGGCTGGCACCTCGCACTCAAGGAGGTCCACCAGTCGAATCGGCAGGACGTGCGCTTCCGGCAGCTCGCCTACGTACGGAGCCTGCCGGCGCAGGAGCTGGCGGGCATGGTTGTACTCTCGCACCTGACGAGCCAGGGGTACATGCGGTACCGGGCGCCGACGTCGGCGGCGTCGAGGCCGGAGATTGTGGAGATGGCGGTATGCATGGCGGAGAACACAATCCGGCACGGGATATTCTTCTTGTACAGCAAGATCAAGGGCTCGGAGGACGCGCATCACCATGCGAGGCTGTTGCTGGACGACACATACGAGGAGATGCGGCGATGGGAAGCAGGGGATCCGAGCGTGTTGCCGGGTCTTACGATGACCGTTGCTTCGCAGCTTTGCGAGAGGGTCGGGTGTGAGCACAGGGATCTGTTGCGGGCTGCATGTGTTTTGGTTAAGGGGGGTGTCTGGAAGAAGGAAGAGGACACGGAGCAGGCGGAGGAGGTTGAGCGGGAGAAGGATGTCGGAGACGAGCATGTTGGAGATGAGGATGTCCCTGAGCTGGTGCAGGTGGGTGGCCCTTGAGACGAACAGGGGGTGTGAAGATGGCTTGATAGAGATTTATGAGATTCATGCGTTATGACCCTGCCATTGGACTGTCTCGAAGAACATAGCGATACTTGATACTGATGGCTTCTACATGAGGGTGAACCAACAGGTATCGTTGTTCCCTAGAGATCTATTGGACTGTGGTGGCTATCACAACCTCCACAGATGTCTCGCGGCCAAGGATCAAGGCTCTGTTGGCATGAACGTTGCTTCCTGATGGCGTCGGAAAGTCTCGTCGAAACGATGGATCCCCTCGAGGCCCCGGATCTGAGCCTCAAGGGGGCCTCGTCGATGGAAGCCGTTCAGCAGCTCTGGAGTAGCTTCAGGCCAGGCATCCACGCTAGCAGGAGACTGTCAGAGACAGATCGGGATCGCGAGACTGACGTCTAGGTTTCGTGGCTTTTACGTCAAGCATATCTGGGATGCCGGGGGCAGAACGAGACTTCCCCTCCATCGCTGAACGCGGTTGGGGAGGTTATGAGGCCGAAGTAGTGGTTCTCTGGACGGTGCTTGGGGGTTGACGAGTCGGCAAGTGGTCTTCTGCTAAGGCATGGCGGAGAGACACCGGTTTATGAGGAGGACCTTCATTGTTCTTTCAGAGGGCACTGGGAACTGATAACCCAAGGACTTGAGCACGAGTGATGGGAGGATTGTCCGAGACTCTCTGGCTGATGCCCCCCGTGCAACGTCACCAGAGAGCTGAAGCCGAAACTTCCCGTGAGCGGCCACCCTCTCTTGTGCCGGATGCTAAGGTTACCCTGTCTCCATGACAGCCAAGTAGCATCTCCTGGAGGCGACACCAGCGGGTCTTGCAACAGGAGACGATCAGGACAAGCAGGGTTCTGGGGCGGCAACTCTTTAGATGTCATGGTGTACCTAGGCAGGAGGACGGGACAGGTGTCGTCGACGGCTAGGACCTGCCTTCCGAGACCGAGTCCATTGCCGCGGAGAAGAGGGGAGGGAGACTTGCTCAAGTGCTTGAGTCAAGGTGTGTATGGTGAGGCTTTAGGGTTGACGCGTCTTTGACGGTTCTCATGTCCATCATGGTTTCCCTTGGTCCAGAGAGCACTCTGAAGGAGGATCAACTGGGAACACACCTAGTAATGGTTGGAAAGATGCTGTTCAGCAGCTTGTGGGATCGCACCTGCTGGACTACGAAGTGAAATCAAGCCCGTAGGTCTGCCGAGACGCTTTCACACCTTCCTCCTAGTCCAGTGGGATCCCTAGCCCCTTCTTCATGTCGAAATCAGAGTGGGCCAAGTATTACGAATTGAGGGCAGACCAAGTTACCAGTCTATGTCGCAACTGAGGGCAATCGACTTCTACGATGGCAAGAGAAAGATTGCACCCGCGAATTCAGAACGGGATAGCTCTCTGTGCCCTTCCCTCGGAGACGCGGCATTGGCCTTTTCGTAATGGAAGCCGGCTGCCATCTGAGGTGTGTCGATGGATGAAGTCTCCCAGAATGTCAGACCTCACCCTCAGTGGGGGGGAAATTACAAAAACGTACACGTCGCCGAGGCTCCAACGTCGTAGGACACCCTTCCCCTATCTCACATCATCCTTGGAACGCTTCAAGTTAGGAATCCCCCACAGCAATCAGGCAACGAGGCGGGAATCCAGGCAGCCACAGGACCTCGAGAAGGACATCACCGCAGAACTACAGTTTAAACTGGGTTAGCCGTAGGCAGTTTCTTTCTGCCTGGCGGAGCAAAGGGGAAAAAAGTATGGTACTTTTCGGAGGGGGGCTTGTGTGACCAACACTCGACCCCGGGCAGGAGGTGGGAGACGCACGCCGGGGGTTTTCAGTGGTCAGCAAGCCAACGCCCGGGATGCCAAGCCGGTAAGGGATCGCCGAGAGATCGGGCTGCGGCGTTGCGTGGTAGACAAGCTTTTTTTCTCTCTTTCTCCTAGCGGCCGGGGAGCCGCGCGGATGGGCGACGACGTTCAGGTACGAGGGAAAAGCGGAGTGGATCTTTGGCGTGGTGATGGCTCATTGTGATGCGGAAGAGTCACTGTGGGGCGTGTAAGTTCTGCGACATGACGTTTCTTTGGGAAGAACATCTTCAGACACGGATGTGTTCATCTTGTCAAGAAAAAGAAGACGAACGAGACAGCGAGAGATTACGCGGTACTCGGGCAGAATGCCCTCAACACGAAGCAACGACCTTGCGGACACGAATCCGCGCCGCAGAGGAACAAAAGATGATGGATGACATGACTGCGTCTGGCGGTGATATTGCGCGTCCCGTAATTAGCGGGTTTTGCAGTGTAGGCTGCGAAATTATGCGGGAAGAGTCATCGGGTCGTCTTACACGCATACGGGAGGACTGCTGATTGGTCGGGAGATGGACGTTGGCAGCGTCCCGCGGCGGTGGTCTGTCGTCACGGGCCACGGGCGGCATCCCCGCTGATCTGTCTTTGCTTGCAATGGACCCCTGTTAGTTACGTTGATTGTAGGACCGGACCTTGCGGGATTCCTAGGACCTGCATCGTGGCTCAAGGCCGGCAAGCAGATGGAGCTGAAGTTGGTGGTGATGCACCGCCTGGTGACTCAGGTCAATATCTCACAGACAGGGTTGCGATGATGTTCGTTCAAGTCACCGAGGGACAGGGAAAGGGAAATGGAAAGGGTGTCGGATTCTCTGTCCGATATCCATCAGCCCGGGCTAGAGAGAAGAGGTTCGAACCAAGGACAAGAGACGGGCTGCCGGTTTGCTACGGCGACAACCTTGTTTTCTTTGGCGAATTGGGTCTGGATGCCTGTTGTCTAGCGGTTCCCCTCTCCCCTTTAGTCTGGTTTGCGCAAGCAGGGAGCTTAATTTGAGCCCTATCTTTTCTGCTGGACGCGTTGCCGGGAGCCGAAGAACGCGTCGCCTGCTTCTTCCGTGGAGCCTGCGGCCCCCGACGGGACGGGGATAGTTGGGTAGGTACTCGTAAGGCGGTTGCGTGAGGCATGTACGTTTATCGGTATGTTCGTTTCGTTTTCCATTGCGAGTTCTGTTACTTTCATTGCCGATGTTGCCAATACAGCAGCGGGCGATTGCAGAGATGATGGCAGCGCTTGGCGGCCATGGGGGCTGAGTACCATGGCTTGCCAATGCAGCTAGTCTGCAGCATTATTGCCTGTGCCCTCTTTGTCGCCGTGGGAGACTTGTCCAGAGGTGGACAGTTTTGGGGTTCAGCCAGCGTAAGCAGAAGGCAGCAGTAGTGTGTCCAACTGCCGTTGGTCCGCTGACAGCCACGGGGAGAAACCAGGACTCGACAGGACGTACCGCAAGGCTTTCGGCGTTTGGGGATGATGGATGGCGATGCATGCAGTGCGAAGTAGAAATTTTGCTGTGCAAGCAGGGAAGTCGCTACTCGCGTGAGTCACGGCCGAAGGAGATGGAAAAGTAGGCACTTTGGTGTGCAGGGAATTGTGATGTTCTCTTGAGCTCGCATTGAAGGGGTTGACGAACCGGCATCACTCCTGTCCTGCATGGGTTGTCGCTGTCAAAACGTGTTGTCGTAGGCAAGGGAGTGCCGGGGTTACAAGTTACAAGGCCGGCGAGTTGGAAGAGGATAAGCTCACAAGCTTTTTTCTTCTTTTCTTTGCGTTTGCGAGGTGAGACCAGGCCTTCAAGGACTCGCAAAAAAAAGACACCGGCTCCCTGGGCTGAGCTACGCAATGTGTGGGGCTGCACTTGTGTCATTTCCGGTGATTTGGTTGGGTGGACTGCCTCTGGGCGCACAAAAGGCGGGGTAGGGGAAGGGAACCTAGTCCTCCTCAAGGCTCAGGGAGAGAGAGGGGGGAAGACGCGGATGTGTGAGTGCGTGCGTGTTGCCTTGCGAAAAGGGGATATACACATGGGATGGATGGAATTAGAGGTGGGCGGTGAACTTTCGGGGGTAGTGGTGTGTGTAGGTTGGAGAAGGGACCATGCTTGTTCTGCGCCCGTTTGGAGTGACGCGCCAATTCCCACTGGTTCGCCCGTTTACCATTCGGGACTGGATTTCTTGGTGTGTCCTGGAGATACATCCAGAGATACATACAGGCGATGCGGGTGACATTGGGCTTGGGGCGGTGCATTTCTTGGAAGCATATAAAGAGCTAGGGCAGCGCCGGATGATGCTGCTATCTCCTCCTCTTGGCCTCCGTCAGCAATCAATCAACCTTTCACACATTGACACCCTACAAACACACCAAAGCACCCTCATCGCCTCCATCACTTACTCCCAAGTCGAGCAACTCGTCTACCACTACAACCAGTCAACATACTTACCACCAACACCACCACCACAACACCCAACACTGCAAACATGGGCAGAGATTCCTTCTCCGAGACCTCCACCATCTGCTCCTTTGAGAAGGAGACCTCACCAGACGCCATCGTCGCCCCCGTCAAGCTCTCCAAGAGACAGAGAGTGAAGCGCGCGCTCCGCGACATCGGACACCCGCCAACGTATCGCTACGACCTCGAGCACGGCATCGACACGATGAAGACCGTCCCCGTCGGGCCCCAGGGCTCTAACGTCCTCAACCAGCCGTCGCGTATCTGAGAACGCCCAGAAAAAAAATCAATATTTGGTTACGCAAGACATGCACGAGCGAAAAAGGGGAAAGACGTTCTCTTTCTCCTGATTACAACGGGATACCAATGAGCGATGCACACCAACGGCGGGGCGTTTTGGCGGGGTACTTCTCTACGGGGAACCCTGATGGGCTACATTTCTTTGGGTCATGAGAATTCCTATAAAACGACAACAGACGAGGTCGTCTTCTGCTGTGTTTCTTTTGGTCTCGCTGAGCGGGCCGGGTGTCGGCAGAGACGGACCTTGGGGCACGGAGGTATTGCGGGCGGCCGCTGCTTGGAAGGAGGGGGAGCATGAGCTTGCGGGTTTGCCGTGTTCCAAGGATTGGGTCGACACCGGCCTGGCTTACAGCATTTTTTGGGAGTTAGGAATGAGCAAGATTGCCGGATACCCCAAGATTC